ACGTCAGACCCTCCTTTGGTCTCTGCGTTTGCAAGGCCATCACGCAGGCCTCCCTGAGCTGCTGGGCAGCACGTGGCCCCCTCCGTCCGCACCCTCACAGGTGGTTTCGGGGTGCTCTGTGCGGCCAGCCGGAGAGCAGAGCCGAGGCCAGCCCGCCGACTCCACCGCCTCAGGGCAGGGCAGCCGCCGCACTGCAAGGCCTGCGGGGCCCCCGCGAGCAGCTCTGCTCCCCGAACCAAGGCTGTCTCTGCCCGAGACCGGGTCCGGGGGCCACAGGCCTCACACAGCTGACCAGACCAGCACCCAGCGAGTCCCCCACAGATCGTCCCCGTGGCAGGGTGTCCGCCCGGGCGCCTACCTGAGCCGCCTGCTGCAGCCGGAGGAGCGAGCGTGTCCTCTGTGAATGGCCCTCGCGCCACCTCCTGTCCGCCGTCCCCGCCAGCCTTAGGCGCTGAGGTTGTAGAGAAAAACAGAGGGTGCCGCCTTCCAACCCCGCCTCTGAGCGGGTGTTTTCTCCACAGGGGACAGAGTCTGCCTCAGGGACATGCCCAGCCACAGCCGCACCCGGCGGGCAGGAACCAGCCACGGAGGAGGCCGCCCGCGGGGGCGCTTGTGATGCTGGGACGCGGGACAGCATCAGGAGGTGCAGGGTGTCTGTGAAGGCCCCGGAGGGCGGGCGGATGCCGGCATCAGAAAGAGCAGCCGGAGAGGCACAGGGGCCCCCGTGGGCCTGGGGAGGGGACGTGCTGGGCATCTTCAGGGACAGTGCCAGGCCAGTGGGGGTTCTACAGGAGCCCAGGCAGTCACGCGTGGACAGCCCCCTCCAGGCTCCCTGGTGACAGAACGCGCTGACGTCCTTGCCCAGCCAGCACCGCTCACGTGGCAGGCGGGGGGAGGGGGGCGGTGAGAGCAGGGAACTCGGGCTGCAGATGGGGCGGGCGGGGGCCGTGGGAGACTGACCACTGAGGTCCGCCCACCGGGCCTCATAGCTCAGCCACGAGACGTGGCAGTTACCTGGGCCAGTCTCAGGTGAAGAGCAGCGTTTTCCGTTTCCAGCTCAACGATCCGTTCTTCTTTGGCCTCCAACCAAAAAAGGGAGAAGTGTCCACATTAGAGTCATCATCGGTGGCCACTCCCACCCCAGGACCAAGTCCGTGAAAGGACGCAGGAGTCTCACGTGGAGCTGGGGAAGGAGTCAGCAAGGGGGCACCCGCCAGCCCCAGCCCCCGTCTGTGACCCATTCCACGGGGCTCCGACTGGCAGCTCCGGGCGCCCCCCCACAGGGGTCAGGGGCAGGCAGGCGTGCGTGCAGGACGGTCGTTCTGACAGCGACGGTGGGTTTTCTCGGCGTTTCTCCACTTGTGCCCAGAGGCGGTCCTCAGAGGCTTAAAGGTGTGGCTCTTAAAGAGTTTTCACCAGAGCTGCTGGCTTTGCTGGGGGCAGGTCACAGGGCCTCATCCTGCCGCCCTGACACCCCTGACGGCCTGCAGGACCCGGCCGGCCCTGCCTTGCTTTGAGGCGCTGTCTTCAAAACATGGAACTCTTCGCGACTCCCCTCTCTTTCCTGCCTCCTCAGCAGCCCCTCCTGCCGCAGGATGAGGGTCTCACAGCCCTGCCTGCCCACCGAGCGCTGACCTCGGGCCTCTCCGCCCCAGCCCACCACCTGGCCTGCATGCCCCAGGCCTCCCATCCCGTCCAGTGGCCGCGCCAGGGTCAGGCTGTCCTCCGCCCCTCCCAGCTTCTTACCCTCCCCGCCCAGGCCCCGGTGGGCCCCGCGGCCGCACCACACACTGAGGAGACTGCACCTGCCTGGGCAGCAGCTACCAGCCGCCCACAGTGTCCACTCACCTGGGGCTAGTGACCCACCGTTTCCTGTGCTCGCTCACCCAGGGGGGCAGGGCCGGAGGGACCAGAGTTATGCCGGCCCCCCATTCTGGCTCTCAGCACAGCGCACAGGCTGGCAGGAGCCTCTGGGGGTGCGGGTGGGGGTGAGGGTGAGAGTGAGCACTGGGTGGAGAGGGGCAGGAGCTGAGCAGGGGGAGACCGGGTAGCCCACCGCCCCCTGGGTGCAGCAGGGGATCCCAGTGGTTAGGGGTGACGATGTGGGCCCCACCCCCATGCGGCGGCCTGCTGTTCACCGCTGCAGGCCCTGTGCTCAGGGCGGGGGTGGGGGGGTGGGGGGTGGCACCCGGAGGTCACCCCAGCTGCTCACCTGCATTTGCCGCTGCAGCTGCCGGGCCCGCCACTCGGGGAAGCGCCCCCACCGCCCACCACGCACCGCTGGCATCGCCCACCTGGTGGGGTCAGGGCGGCGGCCGGGCGGGCATCGGACGGACATTGGGTCAGGGCGGAGGCCTCGGCGGGCCTGGGGCGCCGGGCGGGGAGGGCAGGGGTGGGGGGAGCTAAGCTGAGGACGCTTTTCCAGGCGACCCGGCGCCAAGGGCCAACGTTCCTGCTTTTCTCCCGAAGTTCCGCGGCCTCGGAACGCGCGCGAGGACCCAGACCCGCGCGGAGGGCCAGCTCGGCGCCCTCGGAACAGACGCCCGGGGCGCGCGGAGGCCCAGGGAGGGTCCGGAGGCAGAGTGCGCCCCAGCCCTCCAACCCCCCAGGCCCCGGACAGGAAGCAGGACGGGGGGGGGGGGCGCCCCTCTCCCACAGCGCCCAGGTGGCAGCCAACCTGGAGCCCAGTGAGCTGTGCGGAGGCCCCACCTGCGACGGGGGGGTGGGGAGGGGCGGCGGAGCAGGAGTGCACCCTCGGACCCGCGCCCTCGCCCTCAGCCCGCCCCCAGCCCCGCTCCGGCGCCGGCACCGGCACCCGCACCAGTGGGCGGCCCCGCCTCGGGCAGGAGCGCGGTCCCAGCGCAGGGCAGGGCCGGTGAGCTGCGCACGGCTGGAGGCGGCAATGAAAGGGGCGTCACTCGGGAACACGTGTCAGCGCCGGGACATGTGCTTTTGACCATAAAATCCATGAAGGTTATGTCTCCTGCTTCCTCCTAAGTCTCCGGCGGCGCCGCACAGCGAGGGAGGCAGTGGCCGCGGGGAAGAGCCGCTCCGCCACTCGCTTTCCGGGAAGGACCTGGCAGTGCCGGGGGCGGGGCGGAGGGACAGGGGCGGGGCGGAGGGACAGAGGCGGGGCGGAGGGACAGGGGCGGGGCGGAGGGACAGGGGCGGGGCGGAGGGACAGGGGCGGGGCGGAGGGACAGAGGCGGGGCGGGGCAGGGCGGAAGGGGGCGGGGACGGCGGGGGTGGGGGCAGCCAGGCAGCGGGGCCCAGCTCCCACTCCAGCATCTGCACCCTCATCTCTTCCAAACTTAACAGGGCGGCTGCGGACTCACAGGCATTACCGCCCGCCAGGCCCGAGCTGGGAGACCCCCACCACAGGGACCCCCCCACCCCGGGGACCCCTCACCCTCAGACCCTCCTCTCTCAGGGAGACCCCCCCTCTGCCCTGGGTCTCTGTCCTCAGCGATGCCCAGCCTGGCGCCAGGCCGTGTATTTGGGGGGTCTCCGCCTACTGCAGGGGTTCCCGGGAAATGCTTCTCCCGCCTCTGACCTTCAGGCTCTGGGTCTCCAACCCCAGCCAGCGGGCCCTGCCCAACGAACCCCCGCCCACCCGCAGCGGCGGGCCAGGCCCAGGCCGAGGGCCCCCGGGGAGCTCAGCCCCAGCAGGGCCGCTGGCGCCCCGGGCACAGGGTCCCGCCCCCGCTCAGCGGGGCTCCCTTGGGGTCCTGCAGGGACAGGGCCACTGGGTGGACTCAGGGCCCGGGCTCTCCCTGGGCCGCGCTGCCTCCTCCCCGTTCCCCGGTGGCCACAGGCGGGGCTGCAGGAACGACTGGAGGGAAACCGGCGGCAGAGCCCGGTCCGCTCTGAGCATCACTTGCATTTTATTGGAAATCAAACAGCATCACAGGCCCACTGACCGTCGGACTCTGCAGCCTCAGGCCCTCCAGGCTGTCGGAGTTCCCATGTCTACTCCATGTTCGTCATTTCCAAGTGTTCAGGTTGTGACGCTAATAGAAATAAAGGCAAACCGGCACACAAAGCCGAGACAAGCCGACAGAAGCCCGAGCGCCCGCTGGCTCCCTTCCGCGGTGTCGATCCACACAGCCGGGCTGGCTTTATTGGGGGGTGTTGGGGGGCTGGCTTTATTGGGGCTGCCCGGGACGGGGACCAATGGGGAGGCAGCCCTCTAACGCCACACACTGACCTCAGGGCACGCAGGCTCCGCCCTCGGCTGCGGGAGTACTTGCTGGCTCGTTTACCTTCACTACCCGAGTGGAAGGTGGGACCAGCGGCCCCACGGCCTCCATAAGCACTTAGAAAGGCAGAGGCCCCCCCGGGGAACAGGTGCGGACCGGACACCACGAGGGCCCGCTCTAAAGGAAGCTGCTGCCGACAGCCCCCAGCCACTCAGACCCACTCACAGCAGCAGGAAGGGTGCCGTCGCCCACGCTCCTGGGCCCGCGGCCACCATGCTTCCACCGGAGGACCCGGCAATAAGTTGGATGAAGGGCGCAAACCTCGGCCTCCTGCACCCGTCCCAACCCAACCCACGGCTAGCACATCCCTGCCTGGGCTCCAGGCACGGGCTCCGCAGCCTCGGCTCCCTGAAGGGAACAATTTCATTTTCCCAAAAAGGCTGCCATCTCAACTCAAAAGGGGTTGTTCTGTTAAGCCCTCAAGTGCCCTGTCCCTCTTCTTTATACCAATCAAGTCACTAGCTGCATGTTTATGTAAACTCGCTGTGGGGGACGTGGAACCAGTGTCCCCAGTGGCTGGCTGAGGGGCACCTGCCTGCATGAAGACAATGGGCCCAGCTGAGAGCACCCCCCCCCCCCAATCCCGCTGCATCCACCTGCTCCAGGGGACCACCTGGGAACACTGCCCCAAGGACAGGACACCAGGCTCCTGTTTAGTGAATGACAGGGAGGAGGAAGGGGAAAGGAGGCTGATATTACAAATATAATCTCGCCAGTGCTACTAAAATCAACAACAGCAAATGCACTTAAATACATACAAAGTTTATTAAAAACAGGCTGGGCTGGAATACAGTAGAATGGAAGCTACAGCAGTTGGATGCGTCCACAGTAGTGCAGTCACGAAAGGCCCAACCCGCCTGGAGGGCAGGCCGCCGCCTCGGTCTGAGCCGCCCTGTGCCATGTTCGCGTGTCGCTCACGTGCTGGTGGGCGGGGCCTTTCCATATGTTAACAGAACAGCAGTTGGTCCACAGCATCTCTTGGGGGACATGTGGGCTTCGCCCTGTGGGGCCGCCAGTGTCTCGAGGTGCCTGGGAGGAGCCTGCTCTCCAGCCGCCTGCACCGTGCGATCCTTCACAGCCATGCAGGCCCCTCCGCTGCCCGCCCCCCCACCAGAGCCCTGGCCGTGTGGACGACTGACACGCGCCCTGGAAAGGCTTACCCTACAGTCTCCCCCGTGGGTCCCAGGCCGGAAGCCCCTCCCCCTCCATGAAAGTGTGCGAGTTTCTAACACACATCTGTCAGACAGCAACGTGGCACAGAAAAGCCCCGGCCCCACCTCAGGGCTTCGTCCATAGAACATTTGAGCATAATCACAAAGTGAGTCACCATTTAACATCACACAACGTAAAACAAAGTGAGGTCCGCCTCCCCGACATCAGCCACGCAGTCACAGCTGAACAAACGACAGTGGTAACTAATAATTCAACGAATGGAAATTAAATAACTCTACCAGAGTGTGCACAAACAGCTTGAACTGCCACACAAGTCATTCTCAGGACGTAAATGAGGGGCCGGGTGGCAGGACCCCCCCCCCCCCAGCACGGGCGCTGCTCTCGGCCGAATGTAAACCCTGAGCAGCGGCGGCCCCGCCAGGACTCACATCCTGACCCCACCCTAACGCCGGCTCCTCGGCTCCGTTTCACGCAACACTGAGCTCGCGGCTCCTCACAGACCCCCTCAGGCATCTGAAATAGTCAACGTTCCAACGCTAACCGCCACCTTCAAAATCACCAGTGGTCTAATAGAGCTAATCTGGTATTTATAAAAATAAAATTTCCTAAGCTTAAAGCCTCAAAATGTTCTGTTGAGAAAGTTTTCCCATCAAATAGGCAAGCGGGTCAGGAGGGCTTGCACCTGAGGAGCGGGCGGGGCCGGAGGGAGGCTGGACCTCGACCCGCCGCCTGCGCAGCCGGTGCTCCAGGCAGATCCGCCCGACTGGACTGTCCACAGCGCAGCTGCCCTCTGTAGTGCAAACATCCTCTGGGCAGTTCAAGCTCTTCTCTGAGCGGGAGCAGGCTTCTGAGAAGAGAACAGGACTGCGTGCTCCCGGAAGAAGGGGCGCGGCCTCGGCACCTCCTGCCCTTCCCCTGCCCCCGGTTGGAGGTCACAGGAGCCCACAGTGCTTCCGCTGCACACGTGGCCTCGCTGGTGAACTGCAGTTCCCGGCTGAGCATCCTGAACCCCAGCCACTGCCCAGCCGGAAGCACCGGGGCCCACAGAGCTGGTGGGAGGGCGCGGGGAGCAGAGGCGCCTCCGCCTTCACTTCGTGTTCAGCTCGTTCTCCAGCTCTGTGAGCTTGCGGGAGGCTTTCACTTTGTTGGACACGTCTTGCCCCTGGGAGAAGAGGCGCTGGCGCTCCCTGAAGGTCAGGCTCTCCGGGGCTCCCGCGCCCCCAGGGACTCCTGCCTCCTGGCTGCAGGGGGCGGGCACAAGGTTACTCGTCACCATGGGAACCAGTCACCAAGGAGTCAGTTTAACCTCAGGGAACAGTTTAGTGAGAGAGACTTGTTCTTAGTTAAATCCTGCCCTGACTTTCCTAGAATTAAAATCATGAGTAAATTCTAAGTCCATGTAGGAAAAGGGCAAAACACTCTCCTCCTTCCTAAAAACAGCAACTCCTCCAGTCGCAGCCTCGTCTCGGACCCTCAGCCAGGTCTTCCCCGGGCAGCTCCCCTGAAGGGCGGGCACAGCCCAGCACGCAGCGGCGCGCCCACCGAGTGGGAAACGGCAGGAAGGTGCTACCGGCTCTGGTTAGTCTCTGGTTAGTCTCTGCGGCCAGTGCAGCCTCGTGCCCACAGGGGGAGGGAGGGAAAGAGGGGCGTGTCCAGCAAACGCATTACCTTTTAGACAGCTTCTCTCTCGGGTCCCAGTGAGCATCATGAGCACCGGCGAGTGTCCCAGAAGATCCCGTGAGAGAGTTCGGTCCTTTCCCATAAGAGAAAAAGTCAACGTTAAAGCAGTTGCATTATTTCGAAAACTGTGCTCACGGAAAGGACACAGCGCCCACAGAAGAATAAGACATTTTAAGTTGCTAAGTGAAGAAAGCGAAAGCGCTTCAAATCAGAAAAAAGCTCCATCCATGGCCACTCCCATCTCCTGTGGCCTGAGCCAGCCAATCACTGCTCGCGGTGCTGCCCCAGCCCAGTAGGGGCAGAGAAGCCAGCACAGGCCACAGGTGGTTAACGATCAAAAGTTCTGATCAGTAAATTCACAGATATCAGGAACCCACGAGAAGAAGCCACAGAAGACTGCCGAGGTGGGGGCAGCAGAACTTTCCAGACGCTCCCAAAACCAGGAATTTTCCTGCAAGGCCACTGAGTGCAGGCGACCTACAGATTAAGAAGCGACTGCACGACTGAAGTGAATCTTTTCAGGGCAGCTACTGAACCACCACCCCTCCCCGCCCCCCGAAAATAAATGGCTGTAACTATAAAACAAAATGTTTTAAACAAATGGGCTACCGAGGTCCCTGGCGTGGACACTAGTCCACGGGCACAAAATCGCCGCCTGTGTGAACACAGCCGACCTGCCCTCTGCGCCCAGGGCTGTGAAGACCCACGGAGAGGATGCAGACGAAAGGCTGAGAGGCATCGAGTGAGCTCGTCTTGCCCAATGATCTATCATTAAAGTCATAACACGTTGACAGCGGTGCTGAAGTCTTTCTATGGGTTGTCACTCGGTAGGGAAGAATCCCACTTAAAAAATCTGCCCGTGACAAGGCCTTAGAATCTGTAGTTTAAATTCAACTCTCAGTGCTGCCTCAGCCATGTTCCCTGAATGTGCACCCGCGGCCCTGGTCCTGGCACAGGCAGGACCCCGGGCCAGCGTGTGCCCACGAGGTCTGCTGCCTGTGCTGGGAGCTCAGAGGAGGTAGGACAATGAGAGGACGTGACCTGGTCTTGGGCCCTGGCACTCGGCCACTGCTCGGGTCTCTGCTGCGCCCCCACAGGCATGTGGCCCAGGGCAGAGAGCCCTGCGTGCGCCAAAACAGCAGAAAGCTAGTGTGTCCCATGACTGTTAATAAGCAGACCCTTATCTTTAGACACCAAAAGTGGGAAAAGGGCACATGTTCAACCAAACATAGCAATTACTTGAAGAGGCAGAGAATGAAGGCAAGACCAACAGTACTTCACGCCCGAGGAGGGAGGAGGCCTGATTGCTGTGGGGGTGAGAGAGGGGGTTCAGAGTGCGAATCACGGGGAGACTAGCAGACACTGCGATCGAGGCAGAGGGAGGTCCCCATGCTGAGCCCACCGATCAACTCGATTCAGACTCCCAGCGACTGGCCGAGACGGACCATCTCCAGCGCGCAGAGTGAAGATGCCAAGGTCCAATCAGCAAGACAGGAGGGAGGCCTGGCAGCTCTGCCCTTTACCTCTAGCCCTGGAGTGGCCGAGATGGTCGAAGCCTGCTGGCTTTGGAGGGGGCGGGGGCTGGCCTGCTCTGAGGGCAGTACTGTTGGCACTGGCCGAGGGCGGCTGGAAGGAGTTGGAGAGAAAGATGCCATCGGAGGCCGGGCGCGGCTTAAGGTGCCCGCGAGACGTCCTGGAGCGGGAGCACTCATCCTGACCTGCGGGGCTCTCCTCCTCCTCCTCCTCCTCGGTGTAGGCAACCAGCTTGGCGGTGTACAGGGAGTCGGGGGACAGGGCCTGCGCCTGCAGGGAGGAGGTGGTGCGCTGTGGTGGGGGGGGTGGCGCACCCGCCGGGGCGGGCAGGGCCGTGGGTTCGTAGCCCCGCGGCAGCGGAGGCCTGCTCAGGGCCGGCTCCTCGGGCTCCAGCAGCCTGCGATCTGCCTCGTCGTGCAGTCGGCGCCTTTCGGCCTCCAGGCGACTGTAATACCCTTCTTCCTGTCGCCTCTGCAGGCGGGAACAGAAAAGTGCAAAGGTCAGACAAGGTCAGAGGGGACCACAGCCACCCCACTGGGCCTGGCGGGGCAGGAAAGGCTGGTCAGTTCCAGCCCAGGGCCACACTGACGACGAACGAGAGTGTGAAGGAGGAAGAGCCAGACAGAGACGGTCCATCGACCCGAGACAGGCTTCCCGAGGCTCACGCACACCTCCACTCCGTCTGGAGTCACTGGACATAAAACCACCAACAGCACAAACGAAGACGCTCCAGGCACTCCCGGGCCCTGCCTCTCGCTCCATCCCCGTCCCCGTGACCGTCCCACCAGCCTCTTCACTCCTCTGCTGCTCTAGGTCTCCGCCCACTCCTGTTCCTGTTCGGACAGTAACTTACCTGTTCCTGCTGCGTTTACGGACAAACAAAGCCAGACAGGGGCTCCGTGGCCTCCTACACCTACATGCTCGCACGGCCCCGACTGAGTCCTTCCTCCAGGAGAGCACGCTCCTGGCTCAGCTCCTTCACTCAGCAGGGCACCAGGAGCTGCGGCAGCACTGCTCGAGCCCCCAGTCCTCTAACACACGCCCTCCAGTTCTCAGTCTACACTCAGGTCTTCAGCCCCGACAGACAGAAAAGTAGAGCAACAGCAACAAGATATTCAGATGTATTTTGACACATACATTTCTGACATACGTCTGCAAAAACTCCAGTTGACAGTGTTAAAATCATTAAAACATTAAAAAAGGTAACAGCACAATTTCGTTAGATTGACAGAAGTCTTAGAACACAAGAAAAAGTAAGTGAGAAAGGCGATGAGAGAACAAATAGAATAACCGGCCTTAGTGAGAATGGTTCGCGCTACAGAATGGAGCACAGCGCTTTTTCAATTCACTCAACCAAAGAACGGATTTTGGGGACCTTACTGGCGTCAGGATGAACGTTTTTAGTCTCCATTTCAGTGGTAGTGTCCCCCACTGCCTCCAGACAGACCCCACACCCACATACACACGTGCACAAGCACGCACACAGCGAGGCACACACACCAGCTGGTCAGAGCCTCGCCTCTGGAAGGAGAAAACTCTAAAAGCCAACGCCAGCCCCGATTTCTCACTCTATCTCTGTCTACATTGAGACATACTAAAGGAAAATCTTTTTTTTTTCTTATTTTCTACACAAAATAGGTGTCCCGTTGGGGTGTGGAATCAGCTCCAGGGGGAGCTCTGCGGCTGCCCGGGCCTCGGAGAGCAGCGGGCACTGTGCTAGGGCCCTGCACGCCCTCCTGCACCAGGAGCAGGTCTGATTATAGGGCCCGCGAAGCCTCTGTTCTACCCAACGTCTTTCTATAACAAAGCAAACCCATTGCTTTGGGACATTCTGTATAAAAAAGCAGGTTATTCAGCTTCTTTCCATGCTGCCACTCAATCACAGAAGCTGAAAGAAAGTGTCCGGTGTGATCGGCAGCGGTGGGAGAACATGGGCACAGACCCGCCCTCAGCACCCAGAGCCGGGGGCCGCCTGGTGCGCGGGCAGGGGTGGTGCGGGCTGGGGCAGCTGGGGCAGGGAGCTGGGGCAGCATCACACACACAGACGAGGCCCCAGGGTCTCTACCTCTGGAACCTGGGTTCCTTGGAGAGACGACCTCTGTGACGCCATTGCCCCCGGGAAGACAGGGGGAGCCTCACTGGAAGCTCAGCCCCGGGACTCCGAGCTGTGCAGACACAAGGGAGCAGGCCAGACTCTGGGAAAGGCCAGGCCTAGAGAAGGCAGACCCGCTCATCACCGTGATTCTACTGTCAGCTGCAGGAGTCCCCGTTCCTGCCAGCCTCCCTCTCTCAGCTGTTAGGGTCCTACCAGCTCCTGCAAGTCCTGTCTCAGGGTGGGTGGGGAGGGGCTCTACTGATACAGTTCACAGGTCTATCAAAGAAGGGATTTTCAATAAAAACTAGATTTTCCCATCAGAAGTCGTGGCACTGGAGCTCCACCTTCACAGAAGGGAAGTGGCAGAGGACGGGCTGCCCAGCTCGCGGGGGGCGGAGCCTCCCTGCAGGCCGACAGAGCAGCGCCAGCCCCCAGCACAGGCCGAATCGCCGTCACTGTACGTTCCGCTAAAGGATTGCTCGAGTTAAAACAACCACACGTGGAAACCAAGTGGTAAGTCAGAGTGTCTAGCAGGTTACACACCAAGGTACATTCCTCGTTCCATGGCTTGGAGAAGCCACCTGCTCTGTACCGACTAGCACGGAGTAACCTCGAGAAAGGCTCTATTTGGGATACTAGTGTTCACAGGCTGTCTCGCTCTCGCTGTCCCTGCTGCTCCCACAGCTCCAACGCGAGGTGAGCCACACTGAGCCACCGTCACCTCCACAAACAGCAGCCCCGTCAGGAACACAGAGCCGGGTCCACAGGCAGAGACGCAGAGAGCAAGGAGGCTGGAGACAGCTGAGGGGAGGCGGGGCCGGAGCTCCACCGGCACACCTCCGCACGCCCTAGAGGACCATAACCTTTTCTTCGGCGTCACGCTTGCCCCGCTCCTCCTCCTGCCGCAGCCGCTGGTCCTCTTGCCGGGCGCGCTCCTCCGCCTCCCGCAGCCGCATCTCCTCCAGCTGCTGCTGCCGCCGGCGCTCCTCGTCCTGTAACTGACAGCACATTCACCTTAGCTTCCTGGGGGCTCCTGGCAGACACACAGCACACACCGCGACACGCAGACGCACGCACAGGGCAACACGGACACGGGGTCAAAGCAGGGCTGAGACACAACTCACACTGAGCGCGACAACTGCAAAGCGGCCGCCTACAGCCGTCCCCACCCCGAGCTCTCCTCCCACGATCCTGGTGCCAAGGAGAAGGACCTTCGCTCACACATCCACGCTTCAAACAAGCACGACCTATGAGTCAAGTGACGTTAACCAGCTCATGATGAACAGATGCAAACGTCAGACACTCAGGCGTGGCTCTGTGGACACTCAGCCAGCCTCGTCCGTGTTCATTTTAGTTTCCACACGAGTGGAGAGAGAAGCCTGCACCGTGGCAGGTGGCGGATAAACGCCCGCCTGTGTGGGGCACCCGGGGACCCCATGAGCAGGTGACAGAGCACCTGGGGACCAAGTTTCTAGCATCTTCCCGCACTGGCGCTTGGCCACCAGCTCCCTCTGGACCCGTCGTGGGCTCCATGAGCTCCTTCCCTGCCTGGGAGGCTTCCCCCCCTGGTCACAGAATCGCACGGACAGTGGGAGGGCCTTCTGCCATCTCACTCTGTGCTGCCTGGACGCCCACAAGGGAACGACCACCAGCTGCAGACCAGGCATCCCATTTCCAGGAAACCACCTGCCAGGTTCTGTCTCACACCCATCCCTGTCGCCACCTAATCTCTCTGCGCACATTCCAATCATTCAACTCCTGAGGGCACCTCAGGACCCAGGACAGACTTCTGTTGGGTTTCAGCTCCTTTACCCTCCTGGTCGCATTTCTCTGCAACTCACTGCAGCTGACACACCTTCTCTACAGGAACCGAAGGAAACGCTCATTCACCAGGAGGGCACTGCGCAAGGCTCCCCTCCCCTCGGGCACTGCAGCGAGCTGAGCCCGAGGCCACTGAACGCCTTCTCTTCATCCCTGTCTCTCTCTCCAGGGGACCCGGCTGGCAGCGCCCACGGCACCCCCCTTTCCCATCCCTCCCCCCACGGCTTGTGCCCCTCATAGCAGCGAGCTGAGCCCGAGGCCACCTCCCTCAGTCCACCCCCTGCGGGACCCTCACACATGCCCTCAGGTGTGTGCGCAGCTGTGGGGTTAGTTACTCTATCAAGGGTTCCCTTCCACTGCGAGTGCATTGTTCTTAAACAAAACCTAGCCCTGGCTCCATCGATTCTGTGGGAAGCACACTGTGTCCTGGTGGGAAAGCGACAGGCTCGGCCCCCAGGCTGCTTCCTGTCACACACAATGACCATCTTAGAAAGAGATTAAGGTTCCACCCACCACAGAGCCCTCTACTTCCTCGTCCGTGCAGTCGAGGGGTGAGCCCGGGGTGTCAGGGTGCGGGTGCTCGGGGAGCTCTGCAGGAGGAATGGGAGCTACGGGGTAAGAATGAAGGGGCCACGAGGAAGAAGAGGTGGGGGCCTGCTCCAGGGGCACACAGGCCTGACGTCGCCCGGCAGCGGACGTTCAGAGTGACCAGCACAAATGATGACAAAAAGCACCCAGACAAAAAAATAAAGACGCAGCTGATACTAAATAATCTACAGAAAAGTAATTGATGGAAGAATGTAAAATTGCATCAGTGCAACGCAGGTACTTCTGTTACCCAATCACTAGTAAAGCACAGACCAATTTCATGTTGCACCTTCTGGGTCTCATTGAAAACAAATTCTGAGCAAGAACAGAGCACATCGAGGCAGCCAGTCGGGGTTGGGAGAGGAGTGTGATGTTAAGGTATCAGAAGGATAACAATCCTCGAAACAACAGTACGAATGCTCCCTCCAACCTAGAAACAGACATTTTCTCCTAAGAACCCTCCCTCTTCTCCACTCGCGGGAAGGAGCCGCTTGTGGCTCCCGGGCGCTACTGTAGAGGAAGGTGGGATGTTGCCACAATGAGCGCCCCCCGCCCCCCCAGTCTGCTACGAGGCTTTACACAGTGTTTGTGTTCAAACCCCAGGCTGCTTTTTTCCTTAAAGACAGGCAGCTTTACAACTATCCCCCAAAACAAACCCTCTCGTGATAGAGAAAAACCACATCATCCCTCAATGTGCTTTAAGTTAGAGCCCGGGAAGGACAGGTCCCCTGGGGTCAGAGCCCGGGAAGGACAGGTCCCCTGGGGTCAGAGCCTGGGAAGGACAGGTCCCCTGGGGTCAGAGCCTGGGAAGGACAGGTCCCCTGGGGTCAGAGCTCGGGAAGGACAGGTCCCCTGGGGTCAGAGCCCGGGAAGGACAGGTCCCCTGGGGTCAGAGCCACTGGCAGCGAGTCCCATTTGAGGAACGTATCTAAACGGCTACACAGTCATCGCTATGGCGTGACTCACGACCACCCCGACTGAAAGGACCTCAGCCAGGAACTCTGCAGCCTGACCCTGGGCCGCGCTGCAGGCCGCCCACACGTCTCAGTACTTCCAGGTCAAAGAAAGTGTGTGTGGAGGTGAGATCCGTGTGTTTATGATTCTATACCCAAAACACATTTACTTCTACCTTTAATTTATACTTCACTTTCTGACATTTTTACTTAAAAGACAGTCTGTTAATGAGCACATTGTCCCTAAGAAACCTCTGTCCTCTGGGCCTTGTTGCTGTGCATCACCACCAGAGCGCTCGCCTCAGACGCTCCTGCTCGCCTCTGGCACCCGCCTAACCCGGGGCGGAGAGGGGAGGACAAAGCCACTCTCTGGCCCACAGGCACGGAAGGAGGGGGGGCCGCCCTCCACAGGCCGGGCCTCCAACACCGAAGAAAAGCAGTCTGTTACCAGGGGCTGCGCGACCTGTAGCGTAGCTGCTGCAGCATCAGTGGCAGAGACGAAGCAGAAGGACCCGGGCAGGTGGGGCGGCTCACGGCCCTTTCAAGTTTTTCAGGGCAACTGTTTCATGTTCCACACACTGTGGGCATGACATGAACGCTGTGTCCTCCTAACTCCTGGGGGAGGTGCCTGCCTGCCTTCCGCCCTTCGGCTCTGAGCTCTGGGCCAGTTCCCACTTCCCAGGTCCCTCCACCTCATCCCCTCTGAAGGGGCAGCTCTCGAGGAGGCTCCCTGCCCATTCCTGCTTGAAGCCTTTATATTTAAGTCACCCCTTGCGTGCCTGGATGCTCAAGGCGCCCATTCCCACAGCCGCACGAAGACCTGACAGGACAGCCCAGGAGGGAGGGTCTCGTTGGGTCGTCCCAGAGGAACTGGCAGAGCCCCGATGTCGCTGGAAGGGGAAGGGGTGTCAGCGAGGGAACCATTCACCTGGCAACAGGATGAAGCTGGGACTGGCCACGGAGAGCCCGTCAGCCACGTGAACGTGTCATCAAGGCACGGTCCCTAGCAGCCGAGTTTACGAGCAGGAGTCTTTGTGGGGCAGAAAGAGCACAACAGGACGCAGAAAACCTGGTGAGAATGTGGACTGTGTGTTGGGTGCATCTCCAAAACACTGGGCCTGCCCGTCTTGCCCAGCGCACGGGCTGCCGTGAGGAAGGGGGGCCTGCCCACACATGCTCACTGGGTCTCTCACTCCAGCAACCGGCCGTCACGTCCCAGAGCGGCCTCTTCATGGGCGACGCCCCCCTACTCAACTGAGTTGCTAGTAGTTCAACACCTGAAACCCATTTCTAATGGAGCAAGAATGAAATGGATTCTTCTTGGCAAGCGTTTCCCATTTGCTCATGTGTTTGTGACTAATAAGAATACACAAAATCAATTTATGACTAAAACTGAGAAAAGGTCGAAACCATAAACAGTTACACGAAATGAAAGGAGAAAAGCAAAGAAAAACTAAATGTCAGGACAGTCAAAGGCATGCTCTAGAGTCACGACTACAGGCTGGTCCAGGCCCCCAGGACTGCAGCTACTGGGAACACAAACGCCACTAAAGGAAAAGGGAGTCAGGACAGGAGAGGACGGAGGGAGAGGAACGAGAACATACCAAATCTAGAACAGAGATTGCTGGCACAGCAGTCTGCTGCAGGTGACAGAGGGAAAAAGAGAGGAGGGTGAAAGTTAGGTTCAGCTGTCCCACCACCAGCAAGCCTCGCTCTCCTGCTCCCTGCTCCCGAGGGCCCGTGGGAAGCGAGGGGCTGCGGGCTGAGCTCTGGTTTTCAGAAATTAAACACTGCGATTCAGGATTAAGATACACGGTAACTGAAACGGTGAACTTTCCCTCAGCTCTCTTATTTGGAGACTAAGGTCTTAATCTCAATATAAAATCAGCAGTAAATATGCAGACGCCTCTAACTAAAATGTGAGAAATGTTCCGATACCACAATTCACAGAGGCTCAAAACTGACCGGCCTTCAATAAAAAGTCCATCTTTACAGAAATGTGTAATTATTGACCTGCCTGCCGTGTGTCCACTAGGGACAGTGGCCGGCCGAGGGAAACGCCCCGGGCAGGCACCATGGAGGCCAGGGTCCCATGCTAACCGTCACCAGTGCCTATCAGATAGCACCGACGGCAGAGTCATTCGGAAGGAGGCTTATACTGACGAGCTGGAAAATGCCAATAGAACAATGTGATAGGTAACACCTAGGCCTTCATTTCGGAAACGTCAGGGTCGTCAGAGGGACTCCACCTGGACTCTGGGCAAAGCTGTCTGCGCATCTGGCGAGGGACCTGCATACTGTCAGTGTGGGTGAGCGGGCTCGTCCGCTCCACGCTGACTTGGCCGGAGGTGGGGGTGGCCGTCTCACTAAGCCACGGCCTCAGACCATCTAGTGTGGACAGCACCAAACAAAAGCTGGAATTAGAAACAAAATCCAAAAGACAAAAAGGACTGGCTCTGGGCTGTCTGTCCTCAGAACAGGCCGTGTCGGGAGGAAAAGCACTCAGCCCCACAGCCTGAGATGGCCAGGGCCTCTGCCAACCGACAGCGACCAAGGCCTCTCTCTGCTGGGGCTCTGGCGAGCGGCTACGGAAAATCTCCAGGCGGCAGTGAGCGATCCAGCCCACGTGAGGTGTGTGCCTGGAGGAATGAATGCAGCCCAGCGCTCCGTGCCTGCTCACTGCCGCTGCCATCAGCTGCCTACGAACACCTGCTTCGAGCTGTGGCCCACGAGGAGCCCGCTGCCGGTGAGGGAGCGAAGCCTCGCCCAGGGGCGCAGTGTGTCCTGCTGCCCGCCCGTGCTGCCCGCCGTGCACAGGTCTGGGGCTCTCAGCCACTCGCCCACAGAGCCGAGCAGCGAGGCAGGTCTGCGGGCCCACAAAGCCCAGCCGCTCACTACCTGTCTAGGAATAAGGCCTGCCAACCCCTCGTCCAGTGACTGCTGTTCACCGGCTCCCTTCACTGAAGTGCTGGAGAAGGACAAGTTTGCTTGTTAAACTGCAGTCCCACTGGGTTGGTTTTGTGCTATGAGAAGGACATGCCTGAGCACTGGTCCATCGCTAGGGGCCTCGCTAGCGTCCTCCCCGCCGCCCCACCCCGCCGCGCCCCTTTACCCGGGCTCTGCGCTCGGCCTCCAGCCGCTGCGTGAGCAGCATGGTGTCCACGTCCTCCTCCTCCTCCTCGTCGTCCTCGTCCTTCTCCTTGGACTCCTGCAGCCGCTTCTGGAACTGCCACTCGAGCAGGAGCTTGCGCAGGCGGTCGCTCTCCTCGGCGCTGCGCTCGGCCTTGCCCTGCAGCTCCTGGATCTCCCGGCTCAGCATGTCCACGATGTGCAGCTGCTGCTGCTTCTCCAGCTTCTCCTTGGCATCGCGCTTCCAGGGGTCGGGGGACAGGCTGTCCCCGGAGGACAGCTCCTCCTTGCTGACGGTGATGTACTGCAAGTCCCTGCGCTCGATGGTGCGGGGCTGCTGCTGGGGCTGCAGCTCCCGAATGACGGTCTCCGGGGGCCTCTGCAGCGTGGCCGGCTTCTCCGGCTTCAGCGGCTGCACAGTCACAGGAGAAAAGGGGGCCGGGTTCAGCGGCTGCGTGCGCATCTGGCCCAGCTTCCTCTCCTGCTCCCGGCGCTTCCGCTCCCGCTCCTCCTCCAGCCGTGCCTTCTCCTTCTCGTACCAGCGCTGGTGCTCCTCCCTCTTCTTCCGCTCTGCAGCCGCCACCTGCGCAGACTGAGGTCCCAGCTGGCTGGCAGGGGGAGGTGGGAGAGGCAAATCCATCGGGATCCCGTCAAATTCGCTGGCATAGTGCATGGGAGGCGGAGGTGGCGGTGGGGGCAGGTCCGTGCGGCCAGGCTGGGGGACAGCTGCTGGCGCGGGCTGCCCAGTGGCAGGGGTCTTCCAGCGCCCAGGGCCACTTTTGGTCAGGGTGGATGCAGGTGTGCCCGGCTTGGACGCGTGGTCCAGGTGCTCCTGGCTGGATGCGCTGGAGCCCACCGAGGAGCTCTGGTTTATCCACAGGTCGCTGTCAGACTTGCGGTCCATCACCGCCTCCACTCGGTGGTGCTCCAGGTGAAAAGCTTTATCTTCCCGAAGTTCCTCTTGGGAACGGGCCACACGCTGGAAAAAGAGAAAAGAAAACTGTGAGGTTCCAGCCATTTCTCAGAAGAAATTACTAGACATTCATCAACTTTCTGTCTCAGGGAGATGCTACTGGACCGGTGAGAGCGCAGGGCGCGGCTGAGCCTGCCCGTGCCAGTGGCCGCCACAGTGGCAGGGCATTCCTGCGAGGTGCTCACCCGGTGCAAAGCAGCAAGAGCTCTGTCTTCTCTGCATCACTGGTGAAAAAGTGAGGCACAGACACTAGGCACCTCAGTATGGTGGCCGCCCTCCCCCGGCCCATGGCACACCCCCTCCTGGATGTCAGCCAGGGACCCAGCTGCAGGGATGAGGGTGTTTAGCTTGATTACGGGATCAGCAACAGACATTCCTCCTCTGCAGTAAAACTCTCACTGCTCCTGGGAGGGTCAGGTCCCACATGTCCTCGCATGGCTTCTGAGTCCCAGCACTGACCCGACCAGCAGCCCTGACGGCGAACGCGGGAGCGAGCACTGGAGGCGGGGCCGCCCCCGGACAGCACAGCCCCTGGGGGTCCACAGAGCTCACACCTGCTGGGCGCCCACCGCGGGGCGGAGGCCGGTCTGAGGTCATGCCTGAAGCAGCTTAATCCAGTGAAATGCCTCCCGCCTTGTCAGTGAGGAGAAATTGAAATTGCAAACCCGGGAAATAAATGTTTCCTTTCCTTAAAAAAAACCCAACAAAATAAGAACTATCTCTTAAAAAAGCAGAAAAATACGATGTCACTTGAAATAAAAGCCTGACAGAAAAATGGAACATTGACACCAGCTCGGAAACAGTTCCTTGATACGTGGGCGTGCAGGCCACGCCAGGGCGGGCTCCTCTGAGCGACACCGTGGGGGCTGCCTCACCCCCCCCACCCCCCGTGGCCTCTCTGTGCCGCATCTCGTGGCTCCGAGTCACTGCTTTGCTGTCACGCCCTCAGCCCCGTGCGCCTCCCCCTCCCCATCCTCCCTGCAGGCCCACCGTGACTCTCAGTCCCTTCAATACCCACTAGGAAGTACGCGGAGACCTGCCCTCCCGACTCCCGACCTCCTCTCTGAATTACTGCCCACGTGTGAGCACACGGCAGCTGTACATGTGAGGCTCCGCCACGCCCGCCCGCACCACGGGAATGTGGGGGCCGCCTCACGCACCCCACGCAGGTCTCCCCCCGGGCTGACAAGAGGCTCCAGGAAACAGGGCCTAGAACTACTTCTAGTTCGAGAGAACCTTGGAGAGGCCTCGTCTCAGCCACTCCCTGGGCCCGGGCTGAGGGGCGGGGGGGGGGGGGGGACAGGCTGCTGGGGGCACCGGCCCACCTGGGAGAAAGGTGGGATGGACCCGGGGACGCGACAAAGCTTGTGAACAGCTGACCTGTGCTGGGACCATGCTCTGCCCTCAGAAACGGGCCCTCCTCACCTTCCTCACCCCATCGCCTGCGACAAACCCTCCCTCCGCCTCCTCGTCCTTCTCAGCTCAGCTCAGAGCCCATCTCAGCTCTCAGTAACCCTGACCACGGACCCCAGACAGACACCGAATCCATTGCCCGAGACACATGGGTGTCACAGAGCCAGGCCAGCGGTCTCCAACCTTTCTCACCTCACGGCACACGAATGAATCGCTGACACTCGGTGGCACATCAAAACACATTTTCTGCCAACCTGACAGGAAATACCGATGATTCTGGCTCCTTCACACCAGAAGGCTATATGCTGGCTGTTGGAAGGAGGTCAGGGCCCTGACCAAATAGCCAGGCACTGCACTGTTTGCAAACTCGTGTGGCAGGCCTGTTGAAAACGCTGGCCTGGACTGCACCTGTTTTTAAGCATACACTTCATTTCTCCTCCCAGTCATCTCCCAAGGCAACACTGTCTTTCTAAAAAGAAAACCACATCTGAGCACGTTCCCTCACAGAACCACGAGGCTGACCGCCGTTCTCTACTAACCTGGACAGAACCCGAGCTCCTCGCTTGTCGCCTTTGCCCTCCCCCCGCTCCGGGCTCCTGCACCCCGACACCGGCAGCCTCCGCTCCACTCCAGGCTCCGGCCTCCCCCCGAGCAGCCTCGGCTCAGGCGGCGGTCACACCCCGGGGGGTGCAGGTCTGGTCACTCAGACGGAGACAGCTGGTGCCCTGGGGACTGGCTCTCCAGGAGCACGACCCCTGCCCTGACTCCGGCTCAGCTTCCCGGCAGGGGCCACGGTGACCTGGGCACCCCATGCTCGGGCAGCTTCCCGCGTCAGCCAAGCCCCGCCTGCCCCGCGGTCCAGCCCGGCCAACTGGAGACCACGCCACGTGACGACCTCCATGAACCCAACAGCAAGAGAACAAAGAATCCCTTGCGGGCTCCGCATCCTACCCCGCCCGTCCCCTTTCCTCCACCAGCCACACGGCCAGGAGGAAACAAATGCCGCTGGCAGGGCCGCTGGACAGAAAGGCCCCAGGTCTCAGCGGTGTCTTTATGATGTGGACAGCGTGACCTGTGCTGGGAGTGGGTCTGTGTGGGGTCGACGAGGGGAGCTAACCTGCACCGCGAGGCTGGGGTGACTGCCGTCCGTGTGCGCGAGCAGCTCCTCCTCGTAAGGGGGCCACTGGCTGTGAGGAGGAGGAGGGGGAGCGGCCCGGTCCTGGGACTTGGAGGCGGGGAAAGTGAAGTACTCCCTGGTGTACGTCTGCGTGGGGATGGGGTAGGCCTCGGGCCGAGGCGGGGGCGTCTGCTCCTGCAAAACGTGAACAAGGACGAAAGGTGAGCTGCACAATCTGCAGCGTGGACACATTTAACTCCCAGTAATGACATAATATAGTGTATATGCTAGAAAACTGTTCAAGATGAAAAGGGTGTAGTCCTACACTGGCTGAGAGTACTGGGAACCCCTATGAATTCACACTGAACATAAGAAAGGAGTCCTAGGAGCAAGAGCACGCTGGTGGGGGTCAGTCCTAGCTCAGGGCGGCTCTGAGGGAGGCCAGGAGCGAGAGTGAGGAGGGGTGGGCTCTGACCTCCGCGCAGAGGTTTCCCGTGGAGACAGACGTTATCTTCGCTGCCGTTCCAGGGGCGTAGGCACCTTTCCCTCCAGGGCTCGGAGGCTGATCTGCGGGGAGAGTCGGGCAGAAAGGTATGAACACATAAACAAGATGCTGCCTAGCAAGAGCTCCTGAGGGCAGCCCCGTGGCCGCACCTGCAAGGGGCCTGCACAGAGCTGACCCAGGCCCGTGAGGGACTCCTGCCCCCTGACCAGTCAGAGCCAGAGCCACATCCCATCCCAGACCAGGACTGGCACGCGGTCTGACGCGGCTTCTTTTCTTGTGAACACCCCGTGACAGGTGTGAGCCCCACCTGGAGAGGCGCTGTCAGTGTGCCTGCCTAGTGCAGCACCTGAGCCAGAAGTTCCCAACTTAGTGGTCATTTCATTTCAACAGCGAAGCGAGCAGAGCCGCCCCCTCCGACGGGACCCTGAGTGGGCCTGGCGAGGGCCAGCGTAGACCGGGAAGGCGGTGACTCTTACTTGCCACGTTAGGGCTGGAGCGGTGGTCGGCTCTGTTCTTCAGCAGCCGGTCGTCGCCAGGCAGCTTCTTTGGCTCACTGTACTCTGCCCACGGCAGCGGAGGGCTCTCGGGCGAGCCGTTGGGAGCGGAATTGCTGTAGAGCTCGAAGCCTTCGCTCTTTGGTCGGGGTTTTCCTGAGCCTCGGCGATCTGACACTGAAAGCAAAACATGCTCACAGGGCATATCCTCTGCTCAGCTGGCACTCTCAATACCCATTTTTAAAAGGAAGATGAATATACAAATATTCAAAACTCCACAAGTAAAACTTGTCTTTGCGGAAGAAATAAGATGGTTTTTATATAAGGGTAAAATCTTTCTAGAGAAGCTCTGCAAGATTTTCAAATAAAGTAACACTTAACATTAATGAGAAAAGGTACGCTTTTAAGCTTAATTTCTGATAAACTTGCCTGTTTTAAGTAATGAAACTAAAGTAACAAAATCTGTTTTAAAGTAACTTTTTAAAAAACAAAATAAATGCACTCCCCCCACTTTTTAAAACATTAATTCTCCTAACCACCCAGGAAGGACATCGTCACAGACACCCTTCCATGAGATTTTCCATCTTTATTTTCAGTTTTGCCAGCTTCTTGCTTGTGACCTGATTTATTGCCTACTTTTCAGTTTCCCCTCTTTGATTTCTAACTCTGCCTGCGTTGCTTCTGTGAAATGACTGTAAACTGAGAAAGCACACCCCCAAGATGTTCAGTATCATGTGAGGCCAGGTGTCTGGTCCAGTGCATGGCTTTCAGGCTCTTTTTTGTTCCAGGGGAACAGCCCGTCCGGACGCTGCCGCCGAGGGGAGCCCCGGCCGGCCGGGCGTGCGGCCAGGCAGTGAGCACGGTGGGTCTGACTCGGGTAAAGCGCAGAGGAACTTAGCGCATAGAGTCAACTGTTTTCTCCTGTAATTTCTGAACTAACTCCTTTTATAAAGACCTAAACTTACATTTTTATTCTGAGATGCTTGATGTAGCTACAAAACCATGGTCTCCACCAACCAATTACTTATTCAGATACCTGAGCTCTTCTACACCTGACAACACCGTGTCCCGTGTTGGCACGCAGCACGGGAGTCGCCGCTCACGCACAGGCACTCCTGAGGGGAGGCCTGCCTGCTCTCTGAGACCACAGCCTGCATCTGCCAGCAGAACTGAGCCCCGCCCATCACTCACACTGACGGGGCCTCCTGGCGGGGCCTGGGAGGGTGGCCGGGCTCCGAGGGGATGGAGCCCGACGAGCTACACTGTGGCTCGCAGGTCCACGTCGGAATCCTGGCTCCCGCAAGGCCCATCCCAGTCTCCTTCTCTCTAAAACTGGACACTGGACGGAAGAACAGGTCCTGCTCCTAAGGCGCTTGGCCCGTGGGAAGCTGCTAGCAAGCCTGCTATTGGCCGTCGTCCACAGGAGACACACCCCACCCTCCCCAGCGGTGCTTACGCCTCTGCATCATGGGGGACGGCTGGTTGAGCAGGGTAGCGAGGCCGTGATAGATGGCTCCTTGCTTCGCCACTTCCAGTGTCACCACAGAGCTTGTCCTTGTCATGAGCTCTGCTGCCCTAGGAGAGAGCGCCCGAGGTCAGGAGGAGGCTGCTGTGCTGTCCCCAGGTGCCTGGGACCAGGTGCCCGCAGGCCCCGCCACTGCTGCGCAGGGGGTGTCCTGACCCTCCACCCTTTGCAAAGGACCTGCACACCCGCCTCCTCTTTCCCAGGAGGGAGGCAGGAGCAGAGAGGTCTTAGGGAGCGTCACGAATCTTTCTTAAACTTCAAAAAAACTGCTCCACACTAAAATACGTATTTCTATTTTGCTCACACATGAAATGTCATGCATATAAGAGTTTTACACTTAAACAGATGAGGGTAAGGACACACTTTTTAGCATTCTTTTGCGTCTTCCAATCCCAAATTTAATGTGAACTATCCCTACAAATGCTATCACATTAAGCTTAAAGCAAACACATAGATACCTTTCTTGAGAGAGTCCTACCAGACTCCGCCCGTCCACGCTGAGGAGCTGGTCCCCCGCGGCCAGCCGCCCGTCCTGTGCGCACCGTGTTGAGAGGGACAGCCGAGGCCGAGGGAGGAAGGGAAGTCAGTGGTAAGTACACTTGCTATCTGTTTCATGTTTACCGTTTGTTAAATATGACACATGGACGTTCACGTCTTTAAAAGCTGTACTAACCACATCCGCAGCACCACCTTTCACAACGGACTTGACGTAGATTCCAAGTTTATCTTGACCAGCACCCTGAGCAGAAACAAGGGGAGAAACACTGCACTGAAAACAGGAAGAAGGCAATGCCCCGTGAGGCAGAGCAAACACAAAGCTGCACACAGCTACTCCCCAAGTCCTGGTTCCGGCTTCCTCGTGACAATCAGAACCATGAACTGTATTAATAAAATTAACGTTCTACTTGGTAACTATAAAGAAACCAATAGGAAATGTACCTATTTTATGTTTCCAAATGAAGAAAGGCGACTCCTAAAAATCCAGTCAATTATGACTAAACCAGCTGGCAGGAGACTGACTAGACTGAACCCACAGGTAGAGGCTGGTCACGGACAGCCCCAGGGCACGGGACGGTGGACCATTTCATACAAGAGCGACTGCCTCCCATCCTGACCCCGGGTCCTCACACCTTTCAAGTTTAAACAAGACAAGCTTCTCATGGCCACGCAGGGGGCCTGGTAAGGGCCGTACAGCACACACTGTGGTGGCTCCGTCGAGGGCAGGTGCTGGCTGTGAGGAAACACCGCCGGGAGCACGGCCTGCCCCGGAACAGGGCCAGCGTGAGACGCGGACACACGCAGCTGCTTCCAGGACCACTGTGGTCCTGCTCGGGCGGCACAGCGGCGAGATGAAGCAGCTCAATGACTCCCGGAGCCACAGGGAGCGGCTCCCGCGGGACGGCCCACACATTTCCCAGGCCACCCCCACCTCCGGGAAAGGCTGTGTCATGACAGCAAACAGGACGGCATCACCGAAAGCCACGAAGACAGAGATTCCAACAAGTGACGTCACTGAAACCATCTTCCTACGATGCTCCAACGACACGATTTCCACTTGAAAATGCCCGTTTCCCGTTAGGTCGCCGGGCCGGTTTGGAGCGCGACCAGCCAGCGTGACGGAGGGCCTCCTGCTCTCCTCGGGGCACCAGCACGCAGCCCCTGCTGTGTGAGCCGCACACGCCCAGGATACGCTGCTCCCGAGCACAGCATTCGGCGTGGGGATGCGGTGCTTCTGATGTCATGTGTGTGCAGTGGCTGGGGGCTGAGTCTATAAAAGTTCCTGTGAGCTCACATCAAGTGCTCCCTCTGCAGCTCCGACCCCAGGGTTTGTGTCTGCTCACCACCAACACCTCCTGTCTGTCTACGTTGACAACTCCCCCCCTCCCCGCAGACCTGCCCAGTCCCGGACACCAGCTGCCACTAGATACCCTCCCAGTCACGTCCCACTCCCAACAGCATGATAACCAAGTGCAACCTGTGGTCCCTGCCATAAAATTAAAAATAAAAAGCAAAATACAAAAAACCTCATTCTGATACTTGGCACACTTGTACTTTTTGTAAACGTGGAATTTCACCATGAGAAGTGCACACTAGTCGCAGGCACTTAGCAAAAGAGCAACAGACAGACGTGCTACCTCCCTTCGCTTGTGCCAAGACTGGGTTTCCTCCCTCAGGGGCCTAAGACACACGACAGGAGATCCCTTCTCAAGCACCCCTCCTGCTCCCACGCGTTGACGTGGGTATGCCTGCATCTATAATCTAATTAAATTATTTTAAGCAGCACATTCTGTACTTCCATGGGACCTGTGATTAACTGCTAATGCCCCAGCTCAGCGGTTACAGGACAGCCTCCTCCCTCCCGCTCTGCACTGAAGGCCACTCTGCCCAGCTCTGCCCGCACCAAAGGACCAGGACACAGTGGCCGGCGCAGGCGCTCCCATCTCAGAGGCGCTCCCTCCACGCTGTCCAGCAGGAACTCTGGTCGGGCACTGACAACACCCCCTTCTCTTTCTCTGCCAATACCACAGGGCACCTCTTCAAAGCAAGTCCCCGGGGCCAGATTTTTAAAAAGGTTCTAGAAGCACCCTTTTCTCTTCTGCTCCCTATTTGACCAACATCAAAGCAATGCTTCCTGAACTTCAGAACACGGAAGCAGTCTAGCGCCCCCACCCGCGGCTTCGCTTCCTGCAGTTTCCGGCCCCGTATTCAACCAGACTCAAAATACCACATGGAAAGCCCCAGAACTCGACAACGCAGAGGTTTAAAAGTGCACCGTTCTGAGCAGCACAAGGAAACCTCGAGCTGCCTGCTCCGCCCACCTGGGACGGGACTCATCTCTGCGGCAAGGTCTCCACGCCACCCGCCACCCATTTTGCAGCTGCCCGTTACCACGCTGGTTGTCAGAGAGAGACCACATTCACGTGCCTTTCATGACAACATATTGCTCTATTTTACTACTAGTGATGGTTGTTAATCTCTTCCTGTGCCTAAATAAACCCAACTTCATCACAGGTATGTGTGCAGGAGCTACACAGCCTGGAGAGTCTGGCACTGTGCTCGGCCAAGTTCCCCGGGGGCCCTGGAATGTGCCTTTGAGCAGGCAGGAGCGGCCGCACAGGTGTATAGGTGAATGGGCACTTACCTGCTCTCCGCACAGCACTGCTGTTTGGCAATGTGATATTGTCCTTGTAATATAGGTAAAAACAATAAGCAAGCTCTCCGTTACTCCCTATTTCCGATATACTTTATAAGATTACTACTAATAAAGAAAAAATCTCATTCACTTGGACAAACTAGAATAACAGAACTCTTTCTTTTCACATAATACAGCATGTCCCCCAAAAACGTACACACACTCTAACAGGTGGTAGCCTGATTCTGAAAATGAAATGTATTTGGATAAACACTTCCTTTATAATGAATTATTCAGTGTTGTATCCACTTTTGGGGCGACCCTAGAGCATGGTGTAAGGAAATGAGAACACCACCCTCCTACACTGCTGGCCTGCACACATGCTGTGCTGCCTGTAGCTGGCTCTCGCCCACCAGCTCCTTCAGGAAGAGGTCTGCGCCCCACGCACCGCCAGCCGTGGCTGCCCGGGATCATGACCTTCCCTTGCAGCCGCTTCTCTCAGGTCAGGAACCTCACACCTGAGGGTAAGTATGAGGCTCGATTGTTTCAAAACCACTCGGCGCTTTAGACAACTTAACGCATCGCCTTAAACTGAGCAGGATCCGTATCTCAATAACCTAGAATCCTGTAACATTTCTGAGCAGGTAACTTGTCACACTACATGCATGTGGGACTTAATAAGCCAAGTTCAACATTCAGGCAAAACTGACCGTGTGACCCAGACAGCTGAGAGTAGACATTTCAGAAAGTTCTGGCAAAACGTGGCCCCTCTCCTCCCAATGGGGCGGCTGGTCTGCGGAACGCCCTCCTGGGCGCCCTCCCAGCGCGCTGCCACCACTGCCCCGCTGCCCCGCTCCCCAACACCACGCGTGATCCAGACCACGCTTCGTGTCCCCACGCAGGCCTGTGTCCATGTTTTCTTCCAGATGCTCTCATCACTGCTTCCCAGGCTCACCTGCCGCCACCTGCCCACCCACTCACCTTTCTCCCGTCACACAAGCGCTCCTTTGTCCCCGGCACTCGTCCTGCCCTGCTCTCCACGGCCTGCACAGAGGCTCCTCCCAGCGCTCCCGGAGCCCCTGCCCTATGAGTTTACCAGAAGATGCTCCCGTCCCTACTTGGCACACAAGCCTTGTTATTGAGGAAGCCCAGGGCTGTGCGGGGTGCACTCGTCAGTCAGGAAGCAGCTGCTATATTCATCAAGTGCGCTGGTAGCACAACACTGATAACACTGCAACAAGTTAGTTTAAAAAGTTAGAAATTCTAGCCCGGCTGGCGTGGCTCAGTGGTTGAGTGTCGACCTGTGAACCAGAAGGTCATGGTCTGATTCCCGGTCAGGGCACATGCCCGGGTTGTGGGCTCGATCCGCAGTGTGGGGTGTGCAGGAGGCAGCCGATCCGTGATTCTCTCTCATCACTGATGTTTCTCTCTCTCTCTCGTCCTCTCTAAAATCAATAAAAAAATTTCTTTTAAAGAAAGAAAATTTATTGAAGTAATTCTCTTAGTTCCTACTTACATATACACATAATTAAATTTCATTTTATGGTAATCCTACTCCTCTTCTAATTAAGAAAGGAAAACAGGGCCAGAAGCTACAACATTTTGCCGCTACATGTCAATGTATCATCTGCCATGAACAAAAGGGCCATGTGAGCTGTGAGCACCAGCCGAACCGATCCGGGAATGCCCAGCAGCAGCTTTCAGACGTCGCTGAGATCATATCAGACGCTGCCCCGTGTGGGAGCCACCAGGCCACCTGTCAGCCTGGATGTGTATCAGCAAGTAAAAGATACGCCCCGATTTCAAAGTCTTAGTGTGGTAAAAAGAATCCAAACCAGCTCCTAATGCATATTCACTCCATGCTGAAACTGGAACATTTTGGACACAATGCGTACCATAAAACATTATAAAATTAATTTCACCGTTTCTTTTTTTTTAAAGAAACTGCCAGTGACCATGTGGCTCATTTCCATGTCCACGGGCCAGCCTGCTCTAAGCTGCAGGCTTGCACACTGCAGGCTGAGCAGTCGGGCGCAGCAGCACAGGACAATGGCGCAGCAGCCGGGGGAGCAAGCCCGCACCACAGGACAGTACTTTCCGGCAAGACACACCCTGACTTCCAAACCCGGGAAGAGAAACCCGTCACTACAACTGAGAACACAACACAAAAAACAGACCAAGGCTAAATAATTTTAAGAATTACTTGCCTAAAGGTATCTAAAGTGGGATCTGAAAACCTCGTGTTTTTAGTGCACTGGTTTATAAAATTAAAACCATAAGCATTATTCCTCAGTTAACCAGGGTCTCCTGGAAAGCAATCCCGCATCGAAAGGCCCAGGAGTTACGAGGTTCTCGCCACAGCTCTGCCCCGGGAGTAAGCCTGGGGTGAGGGTCCGGGCAGGCGCGGGCACTGCCGTGTGGCTGCCCTGCCCACTGCAGACGACAGAGCACAGAACCCAGAACGTTACCAGGCAGTGCAAACACCTAGGTCCCCATCCTTAAGAAAAGCAACTACAACGAAATAGACGACTCCTACGTGTGTGATCATGGTGCTGAGCACACAATGCATGTTGCAACTGCTTCTCCTTCCTTTAGAGGTGAAGGAA